TCGGCTAAGACCACGTTCAACTGCAAAGCATTCTGCACGAGTGCAACAAGCAAAAGTCAAGCTCACTAAAGCTGAAGAGCAGCTGTAGGCGTCGCAGACTGACCCACAGCTTGACGAGTACAAAAGTCACTACATCATGAAGAGACGAAAGTCAGATGTGTAAGACCACGTTCAACTGCAAAGCATTCTGCACGAGTGCAACGAGCAACAAGTCAATCTCGCTAAAGCTGACGAGCAGCTGTAGGCGTTGTAGACTGACCCACAGCTTGACGAGTAAAAAAGTCACTACATCATAAACAGACGAAAGTCAGACGTGTAAGACCACGTTCAACAGCAAAGCATTCTGCACGAGTGCAACGAGCAAAAAGTCAAGCTCGCTAAAGCTGAAGAGCAGTTGCAGGCGTTGCAGCCTGACCCACAGCTTGACGGGTAAAAAAGTCTCTAAATCATAAACAGACGGAAGTTACACCGTCATAAATAGACGAAAGTCAGACGTGTAAGACCACGTTCAACTGCAAAGCACTCTGCACGAGTGCAACGAGCAGAAAGTCAAGCTCGCTAAAGCTGAAGAGCAGCTGCAGGCGTTGCAGCCTGACCCACAGCTTGACGGGTAAAAAAGTCTCTAAATCATAAACAGACGAAAGTCAGACCGTCATAAACAGACGAAAGTCAGACCGTCATAAATAGACGAAAGTCAGACGTGTAAGACCACGTTCAACTGCAAAGCATCTGCACGAGTGCAACGAGCAAAAAGTCAAGGTCGCTAAAGCTGATGAGCAGCTGCAGGCGTTGCAGCCTGACCCACAGCTTGACGAGTAAAAAAGTCACTACATCATAAACAGATGAAAATCAATCGTCTAAGACCACGTTCTACTGCAAAGCATTTTCTGCGAGTACGACGAGCTAAATAAACCTCTAGCTCGCTAACGTGGAAGAATACTGCAGTTAATTCGTCTGTACACAATGTGTTGATTTGCATTCTCGTCATATTTACAGAAGTCAGGAAACTAAACCTAAACACTAAAAAAATAAATTTAAAAAAATCCTAAATTCTTATTTTTTATTTAATGGCGGTAACCAAGTTTGATCTAAAGGTCATTGACTTGCATTACACGTGTCACAGTTACCGGCAACCATTTGAACAATGAATGACCTATGCGCAGAAAAAAAAAGAGGGTACGAGTAGAGACGGGGGGAGTATCGTATCGAGCGCGTGATTGGTAGATCATCAGTCGACCTTGCGTGTACGTTCCGCTGACATCACGCATACGTTCTAGTTTCTCACGAAATGCAACGTGGTTGTGTGTGATGAAAACAAGAGTTAGTGGGGAAAAAAGCCGCTTCCGTGTACATTACCATCAAGTGCGTTCTTATGGCTTGATGTGAAACGTTAGTTTACGCAGATAGAGAGAGAGAGAGAGAGAGAGAGAAGAATTGCGCGCAAAAATCGTCTCTCGTTTCTTTCTGCTTTTTCTGTTGTGAAGAATGTGCTAAGTTGAAACGAATCTCTGCACATCTGTGGCTGGCTCCGGTATGGAGCCTGCCGGAGCCTGACGAAGGCCACTCGTGCAAGTCTACGTTCAACGTATGTGAGACATTGGGCAAAAGCTCGCCGAAACGGACAGGCGTCTGTGAAAAACCACAAAATAAATAAAAACATTACTTTGTATATTGCTCTCGAAACGAAAAAGGCACTCCTCCAGCCGTTTATGTGTTTTTGTATTAGGCGTCTCTATGCCCCTCGTCTCTGACGGTAACATTCACGCTGCTTTAGTTAATATGGCCCATGTACAACGGAAAATTTATTTTGTAAATATTTCGAATTATACTGCGTACTGTAGGGCTAGCACGACAGTGCGCAGTGGACGAGAGCGACATAAAGCGAGAAACATTGCAATTCTCGCATAGAGATCCCGCGCTTTATGTCTCTCTCGCGCATATTACTTACGCTGTATCCATCGACAATAATTGACAGGTATCGAAAATTTAATGCATTTCATTAACATAAATAATAAGATTTAGAATGATGGTCAAATGCAAAAATAGAAACGAAATCCATTGAAAAATATAATAATCACACTTTAGTATGGCAATACTTTGTGACGTTACATTTTACTGTGTAAAAACGCTGTTTGCTGTGTAAAAATAGACGGATCATTTTCCCGTAATTGAATTTTATCTGATGTGAGTCGAAATACGGAAATATGAACATACATTTTCGATTAGTTTATAAGAATTCATTGATGCATTAAAAAATAGGAATCGAATACAAAATTACAGCGGGTCAGATACTTCGCCTTCCCTCAGCAGCACGGTGACAAATGAGGAAGAAGAGGCGCCAGTCCAAGGACCTCTCCCCGCAGAACCCGACGATGCACCGTGGAAGCGAAACAGTGGAATCAGGAAGTTGTGAGTATATGCATGAATAGCATGTCCTTAAGGCTTACAAGTTACTTTTGGGCTCTAATGTTGTTGTTAAGTACCCGTTACAACCGCAAACGGCTTTGTTTGATTCCGCATTGTGCAGTGAAGTATTGAATCAATCACTTTGAAAAAAAAAATATAGTAAAATTGATATACACTGATAGTTATACGGCGTGAAAACACGATTTCTAAAAATTTTCACGCTAGAAATAAAATACAATATTGCCTAGAAATTTTACAAGAAAACCGCTGTGTTCAATACGTACTTTACATATAGAAATGATATTTTTTATATTAACTGTACTAAATAGACGTATATAGTACATTTTTCAAATGGCTTTAATTTCGTTTATAAAAAAATAAATTCTGAAATAAAGCCAGTGTCACTATGGCTCGTTCTAAGCAAAATTAACCGTGTTAGTACGGGAAAAATTTGAATTTGAACTGAGGTAATCGCGTTACTTGTGGAGAAAATGAATCAATTTGAATTTGTATTTTTAATAGAAATAATCTTTGTTTTTGTCAACATGGCGAGAGTCCGAATCTTACTTGTACGTAGCCTTTGATAAGACCTATAAAAGTTGATGCCAAAACTATTTCTTGATAGTCATCGGTACTAATTAATATTCTTGGAGGGAATCCCGATCGACCAATTATGCTACCTTTATCGTAACTAACGTAATCGACATTTTTGACGAGATAGATTTATTAACTTACAACCCCCGTAGTGTGCCGCCTCGACAAAGCTATTCAGCTATTATAATAACTGCAAAAGATTAACATAGTGCCAAACATGGCTGCAAAGTCACAGCTGATTTTAAAACATTTGCACAGTAATTTTATCGACGTAAAAATTTTGCGCGACAAACGAAATGAAAAGACGTATTTTGTTTCACGGTTTTCGCGGCGATGTTTAAACGTCGACTATAGCAATTTCATATCGTTTTCCTTGTTCTTCCAAATGTATAATTATTGTTCATTACCAAATAAGCAAATTTAGCTTCGTTATTTTTCGGCGATGGTTAGACGACAAAAATAGCCATGTACGCAACTTTAACAATAGTTCATTACCAAATAAACAAACTTAGATTTATCAATTGAATTAAATATTGTCACGGGAAGGTTTATCACACAATTCAGGCATGCTACGGCCACTGGAATCAATGAATTAAGATCTACAATACTGTATTAGCGGCTTTTTTATATTTTATTTAGGTTCAGTTTTATTATTAAGCAAAATGTAAGAAAAAAACTTTTAGTGTCCATATCTCGAAAATCACAAAAATGCAAATGCGTTAGTTATGACAAGGAGGAGCATGTTAACAAAACTTGCTTTTGGCGTCAATTCTTAAGTTCACGATGACGTACTTTTTTGTTTTATGTTTGCTCCTGTTATTTTCCATTTAACTGAAAGATTTGTCATTCGTTGCATGAACAGGCACATTGATTTAATGCGGTGTATGTACCATGAAGTTTTATAAATTGCATTAAAACACCGTATTGAACATAGAATTACTGGATAATAAGAAAAAAGAAATTGTCTTCAATAACACTCGGTAAATCGGTGGTGTAGATATAAAAAACCTTCATCGTATATCATGTTGATATTCTTCATTCATGGTGTAACATTATTTTCACTCTTTTTTTTTTGTTCTAAACATTGTATTGTATTGTTTTGGTTCTAAATATCGTGCTGTATTATTTTCACTCATTGGTGTTGTCATTTTATTTTCAAGCTTTTTATATTTGGTTCTGGTACATTTTTTCAATTTTTTTTACGTCATCTGGGTGAAGGTCGACTCCAATTTCATATAAAACTTGTTATAATACTTCAAAGGTTTCATTTGAAATTCTTGTCTACCTTTAAGTAGTATACGCATGAAAATTAAATTTAAGTATTTCTCGAATATTCGATTGACCTTTTTTTGTTAATAAATTTTTGCGCGCCAGTCACTGTCTCTGCCATGATAAGCAGGGCGCGAGCAGGGAACACACTAGAATAATTTTGGTTTCTGAAATCGAACACAGAAGGCGTATATAGCCATTGCCAAAACAAGAAAAAGGTAAGGCCAGCTGTGTATGGAACGTTCATTGATTGTTCGTGAATGTTCCCTCTCCTGCGCCCCGCTAACAATTGGGTAACGATTTGTCGCTAGAGTTTCTGTCGCGTGTCCAACAGATCATGGAAGGAAAATACCTCTACCACGTGTTAACAATGTCGATAGTCGCTAGCGATAAACGTGTAAAATTGTTAAATTGAAAATTTTCATTTTAATACCGCTGGAAAATTTGTCGTTCTAAATTATCAATACTTTTCAGCGGTCGCTTACGACTATCAACATAGTAAACTGATCGTAGAGGGACAATATATCAGTAGAGAACTAAGTGATTGGCGCGTTTTTTTCCAATTTGAAATTTTTAGGTTGTTTATTGGAACAAAAAATTGTAAAATTGCGACCAGGGCCGAAAGAGATCCCGCAAATACGGACCCATCGTAACACTAGGCACGCCGCACGGATTTGCATGGGATACCGCTTGTTCGCTAAGAGTTGATTTATTACGGCTGCTTTCAGATTATGTAGGATCACATCGTCTCCTTTAGCGCGATTGGATTTACAATTTTCAAAAATTACTTGCATAATTCGTCTATTCGATATATTTTGAACATGATTTTCTTTTGAAATCATAACTTAATATTCATTAATAAGAGATTATATTATTTAAACAAAACTAATATAACAGCTATTTTACTGCAATTTGGACTTTTCAATTTACTACACACATATAACACCATCGGTCTTTGGTATTATTGTAGAATTCGTGGCGGGGTTTTCGACTATGTAATAAAAAAAAATCGAGAATTTTACTTACTGCTCTTCAAATTTCTGCGGCAGTATAATCTGTTACATTCTTCCAACATTTTAGACTAAGGCGCGGCGCAAACATGTGGCTTGTGTTGGATACAAGCAACCGGCAATTACAAGCGAATATTATATATATTTTCATACAATTGCTATGAAATCGGCAGTCGCCGGATGCGGTAGTCGGACACTACCGCCGGTTGCGTCAACCGCAATTTGTATGAAAATAGACTGTTCGCCTCTAGATGACGGTTGCTTGTATCCAACACAAGACACATTTGCGTGCTTCTAAAGAAACAAGTGTCACCCTTGTGATTTTTTATAAATTAATATTAAAGCTGATTTATAAAACCGGGTACCCATTAGTGAGCTGTAACTGGAATATGACAGATACAGTAGCGAGGTTCTAGTGTGTACGCCTAAAACAGTCTAGAATGAGTACCTGGTTATCGTCGGATCACTCAGAACTTCACGCGTTCCGCTCGCGGCAAGCTCGCAAGCCATGTAAACACTATTTTTGGTAACATAACATGGAACGATTACAGCTCGCTTGTGAATACCCGGCTTAAAAAAGATTTTGAACTTCGATTAAGCAAAGATGGCGAGCTAAGCAAGTTATTTACTAAACAAAGTTTGCTTAAAGTCGGATTAGGTTAGGCAAAGTACATTTTGTAAATACCAAAAATTTACTTAGCTCGCCATCTTTGCTTAGTCGAAGTCAAAGTATACGTTTTATAAATCTGAACCTTAGTATCTGGAAGCAGCCTTAGAAATCGATTGCGTGATTGCTATTTTTATCTCTTTCTTATATAGCAAAAAAGAATAGCGCCATGTGATTGATGATGCATAAATCGACTATATGTACCTTCTTCCTACTCCTATTTATTCCATATATATTATTGTTTTACAAACCTTTTTTTAATAACATTTATAATGTAAATAGATGCATAGTGTCTATAGATCGACTTCTTAGGTTTTCGCGATTGTTACACATATGAAATATAACTATTTTTTCGGATCTCAATCGCGCATTTTCATTATGTTATGTAGTTAATAAAAAAAATTAATTTAATAAAATTCATATTGTTAAGATATAATAAAATATTTTGTAAAACGTTTGCAGTACACTGCAATTGGAACGTTCTTTGGAAAATTAAAAATAAGGTATTTAATTAATAGCTTTTGTAACTATAGTGAAAAATAGGGTGGTTTGAATTAATATTAGACATAACTGGTCGATGACGTTCTATATCAGTCAGTGATTATGGGACCTGTAAAGGGCCCGAAATTTGAAGAAACAAATGTACGCGATCCGAAAATATAGTATCCATAGATTTTTAAAGAAAATCATAATATTCGTAAATTTTTAGACTCTATTTTATTTAGACTAGTTCTAATAAAAATTTTTCTCCAATTTAGTTTATTTGAAATCTTACATCTTTAAAAATATTTTTAAATATCTTTCATATATATTAATGACGTCATAATTCGTATAAATAACGCACCGCACTTCATTCATCTTTCATTATGCACAAACCGATTCGCTATTTTAGGTTTGTGATGTTACAACTAATTCATTCATTTTTATATTATACACATTTCATATATTGGTAAGACTCATAGATAGGGAATTTAATCGGAAATGACTCTTAAAAAGTACAGAGGAACGAGACCACTCGATTTTTAAAAAGTACGATCATTTTTGTTTTTTTTTTGTTTATCAAGGCCTTCGGATGAATTACAGTCTGAATTACTTATCAATTTCGAACTGACATTGATACTCTATGGTCCAGTGCATTTATGGCCAGTGTAATATCCCATATAAATTTTATGGGTTAATAACATCTTTTGGAGAGACATTAGTGAGAACGTTTAAATAAAACCAATGGATCAATTTCAGAGCTTTTAAAATTCTTCAAAAATTCCCATTGTAGTGTTTCTGATTTGTCAGAATAGGAAAGGTAAACCATTTTTTATAGTTCAGAAAGTTTGGATTTTTTGCAGTGCAGTCTTTAATTTATATTATATTATATGTATTTTTAAAAGTATATATTACATTTTTATTATTTCAATAACCTAGAGTGGAAAACTGCTGAAACTTATGAAACGTACAAACCAACGTGAACCTTAATACACTGTGTAACAAGGGCGTAAGTAGGCAATTACGTTAATTACTTACAAATGGACTTTAATGGCCCAAACGTTTGTAATTATTGTTCCGCCCGTGTGGCATACAATGTTGTTAATCATAGTTGCGTAGAAGTTAAAAAAAACGAAAAGAAGTTTAAATAATAATAATAATGATGCACACAACTCATTGCCCCGCACTAGGGAAGCCTTGTATCGCGGGTGCCATGGACACACATAGACCACCACAAATTACACCCAAAGTCACGAGAAAAATAAATGTAGAAAATACAAACATTTCTCCCGGCCCGGTATTCGAACCCGAGACCTCTGCGTCGGCAGTCCAGCAGTCCAGCAGCAGCAGTGGCTGAACGCCACGGAGGAAATTAAATTAAATACGTTATAGTGTTATTAAAAAAAATGTGTTTCAGAAAATTCTATATAGAATAATATTTTTTTAAGCATTACATTTTTATGCTTTGTCTTTACGTATTAATGTAGCAAAAATGTATGCTACAGTACGTGCGAGTATGTATCATATAAAAGTTTATTAGTTTAATTTCGCTAATCGCCTTCGTTCCTACTATAGTCTGGTGTTTTTTGAAGACGGAGTAAAATGACAGTTCATTGCCCAAAAGTGTTGCCCGCTTGCGAGCAGCTAGTGTTTGCAATCGGTAAATATTCTCTATCGACTATCGTCTGAATATTGGTCACGCTTTTGGAATAAATCGCGGAACTTGTTTCATTTCATTCATCCTCAACCCATTATTCGTCCAATTACTGAGTACAAGTTAATTTAAATTGTCAATTTTTGTAAGTTCATACACACATACACTGTATTTAGGACTATGTTTATGAAAAATACAAAGAGGAGACATATTTTAAAGTTTTTAATTTCAATTCAACACAGATAATAAAGTCCGGCTATTCTTGTTAAAATGTATATGAATAAAAATGGAACTCGATATTAAAGATAAGACAAACATAAATTTATTTCAATATAACATAATCTAATACAATACAAGTAAAACAAATGTAAATAAAGTAGTGTTTCAACGAATAGTATTTCGCCTTCAGGCCGGATACCGAATATTCGGCTCGGAGCGAGGCCTAATAGCCGAATATTCGGCCAAACTATTCGGCGTGGTTAATAATCTTAAGAAAATTGGCGCGCAAACCGCGTTATAGCAAAGACATACGAGGGGAGGTCCAAAAGTCCGCGGAATGGAGGGGTTGTAAATAATATAAAACAATAAGGCTATTTTTCCTTTTCGACATAATTACCCTTGAGCTCAATCCATTTTTTAGATCTCGAAATTAGCTTTTCTATGCCATCGAAAAAATATTTTTTCCTCTTTGCTCTCAAAATGAGCTAAAATTGCTGCCTTAACCTCTTCATCGTCGCGAATTTTTTTCCCACGTAATTCTTTTTTCAAATTTGGGAACAAATAATAATCGCTGGGGGCTAGGTCCGGGCTGTAAGGTGGGTGGGTCAGCGATTGAAAGCCACACTTGTGTAGAGCAGCCATCGCAACATTGCTCTTGTGAACCGGTGCGTTGTCTTGCAAAAGCAACACACCCTTTGTCCATTTTCCCCGCCTTTTTTCTTTGACAGCTTCCTTCAGTCTCTCTAATGTTCTTGCGTAATATTCTCCCGTTATATTGACCCCCTTTTCTTTGTAGTCAACCAATAAAATTCCTTCACAATCCCAAAAAACCGTATCCATGATTTTTCCAGCCGATCCGACACCTTAAACTTCTTAGGGGGTGGTGTACCCTTTTTATGCCATTGCATTGACTCCTGTTTGGACTCGGGCTCAAAGTGATGAACCCAAGTTTCATCTCCAGTAACAATTTGCTCCAAAATTGGGGTAGGTTCTGCGCCACACAGCTCCAAGAAGTGCTTTGATGCATCGATTCTTTGTTGCTTTTGAGGCGGCGTGAGCATTCTCGGCACCCATCTTGCACTGACTTTTGTCATGCCAAGATGATCGTGTAGGATCCTCAAAATGGTAGTATCTGATACTCCTACTAATGCAGACAGCTGTTTCTTCTTCAGACGGGCATCTTCCAATATAAATTTTTCGATTTTTTCAACATTGTCTGATGTGGTGGCCTCAACTGGCCGTCCTGGGCGAGGATCGTCTTCAATTGATTCTCTGCCATGTTTGAAAAGACCGTGCCACTTGTAAATCATTGTTTTACCAGGGCACTGATCCCCATAAACAGTTTCCATCTCATTCATAATGGTTTGAGGAGGCTTTCCTTGCTTGGTAAGGAATTTCATGACAGCACGAAACTCGATTTGCTCCATATTTGCAGTTTTCTTCCGGATTTACTTGTTTGTAGGGCGATATCTCGTAAACTAATGAAGTTAAAAGGGTGAAGCTTGATATATATACCCCTAATAAGTATCTGATTAGTACAACATCAAGCAAGCGTAATTAGCGGGCTCCCACCCCCTCCATTCCGCGGACTTTTGGACCTCCCCTCGTATATATAAATAAAACAATCATTACTGGTTATATATATATAATGTAAATATAATGTAATGTAATGATTTTGTAAAGAGAAACAAAAAAGGAAATTTTATTTCCAAGTTTATAATTCAAATTTACGACATCTTAACGAAGAAGCTAATTGTTTATTTCACTTCAGTTTGATTAACTTTCAAAAACATAATTTTATTTGCATTTGCAAATACTACTACTACTAGGTTGATTAGGTTAGGTGTACTAGGTTGATTTTGTTAGCGTTTATTTCATCATGATTTCATGACAAAATTACATAATAAGTAGGTACTGTGAGAAATAAACATATTTATTATTATTGTAGTGTTCATTTGATTTGTTACCTTTTTTTTGATCTCATAGAAGTTACTATTTGTGATAATTTACTGTATTTTCTTATTTTTTCCTCCTGTTTTTAGGTATTCGGCCGAATAGCAAAGAATAGGCCAAATAAGCCGAATACCGAATAATAACCGAATATTCGTTGCAACTCTAAAATAAAGCTATTATAGTATTCAAATAAGCATTAAGAAGGGAATCTAATTTATACATTCTTCATAGTAAAGCTTTTTATTATTAGGACCTAATGTGTAATTGCGATGCCTAAACCAAGTAAATGTATACCTGTACTTTAGGCATCTTTTTGGACAAATTTCTTTATATTACAGCTTAAAAGTAGATTTAGACTAGTAGGTCAACTGTCAAACGAAGCATAAAGAAGGCAATAACGCAATTGGTAATCATTAGAATGGTCGTCGTTCAGTCATTTTTGGCAAAACTTTATCTTCTTTCCCAATCTGTCGATAAAACTATCGGCAACTACTACATAACTATTTAAAATCTGCCGTAGGAATTGTAAACATCGTCGTGTATTTCAACTCTTAAGGTAGATCTTTTACCTAGTCTAGGATTTAGAAGCTTAAATTTCAACTATAATTATATCTTCTACCTGTTTTTATTGTAACTAACGTTAGTTGTTGTTTTTGTACGAAATAAATATTTTTTTATTGTAATTAAAGAAAAGAAAACGTCATGCAGTTTTCGACTCTAGAAAAATCTCGTTTATTTTTTATTTGAACCATCCCTGATTGTGTGTTGTGTTACGGGGGGGTCAGGTTCCGCCTGGCGCTGACGTCGCGCGGGCGCTGCTCGCCGCCGGCGCGGATCTCTTTCGGACCGTGGTACTGAGCGGGATATTCGGTACGTGAACATGTTCTCCGCTTGCGAATCAGTATACTTTATTAACGTTTTAAATACGCCTAAATGATAATAGAATAAAATTCATTTTTCATAATTTACTGATTGGCAAGCTGACAAGCTGTTTCGCGTTCTATTAAAACGGCTTGATGGGTGACAAATTATAGTTTGTTAAGGTCCTAAAATGTGAGCGCTAGTATTGATTTTTGATGTCTGTTAAAAATAAAAAGTTATTTAAATTGGTTAGGATTCAAGTAACTTTTCAGCATAAAATTTTATTTATAACATGATGTTAAATGTTTAATGAACGTATTATGTTGTTTAATTCACAGTTTTCGCAAGCTCTTTGTTGAGTCTGATATCACCGTGGGCAGCTTCCCGAGGCGCTCGTTTTCAACGCTCGCCAACAAGATGGCCGCGACCAGTGGCGCCCCCTCCGCTACCGCGTAGACACTCAGTTCCCACCAATACTAATAACACAACCACCAGTAAACATCGTCGCTACTCTGACTATAAAAACCCCAAGAAATCAAAACTAGACCTAAGGCAGGAACTTATTAATTTGAACCTCAATAACCAAGAGGTAAATACATGGCTAGGTAACGAGTACGAGGAAGAGTTTGATTACGAGCAGTTTCAAAATGATATTCCTTTGCAACGATCTATATCGCTAGATGGCGGTATTGAGATTTTTAAATACTTGCAAACTGTAGGTTCTGATTGGTCCGGTAGCAGTGTTGCTTCCTCGTGGTCTGTAGACTCAGATAAAGATCGAATGTTGGAGAAATGTAGGAGTTTTGAAGATATCCCCGCTTCTCAGAGCGTATCGAAAAGCGGGCGCGCATCTTCCGATTTTGATTACAGTTTTAATAAGAGTCTAGGATTGTCAGTTTTGAGGACCAGTTACAAGGACTTAAATATAGAAAGCGGTAGCATATCTCCTCGTATAAAGAAGTTGCAAAGGATGTTTTCGTTTAGAAATACTTTGCAGGATTTTAAAGAGGCTTCTAGTGAGAGTTTGTGTGATGATAGTCACGAACCTAAGGTACCAACGTACAAAGACATATCCTTTGAAACGAAAATTGAACATAACTTTAAACAAAATAACATTCGTCAAAGAAAACACGGTATACAAAGCAATGTATCGTATCAAATGAATTTGAGGAAGGAGATTTTGAAACGGAATGTATATTATACCAGTTTGCAAGATTTGTCTATGAAAAAGATTGAAATGAAACGTCGAAGGTCTGCCGGTAATAAACCAGAGCTCCGATTAGGATTGACTCTGCTAAAAGATAGCAATAAAGGCATTGAAATGGACAGCGGTAGCATTTCACCAAGAATTCTAAAGTTAAAGAGGAGTTTTTCCATTTTAAGCTCTGACGTCAATACGAGTGTTATAACGACTGCTTCGGAGTCCAATTTGAAAATAGAAAACAGAGTGGCCAAATATAAAACCACAAATACTTCCAATTTGGTAGAAAAAACTGCAGATTTGGTAGAAAAATCTTCATTAATTCCCGAACTAATAGTATCGAATTCTTCTAGCTTATCGAATGAGTCTATCAATCTTAATTCAGAATCTTCCACTTTGGTAGAAATTCCTACCAATATAGTAGTAAACACTACTTTAAAGGTAGCACGTACTTCCAATTTAGTAGATGTAAGTAGAAATTGTGGCTGTCGAATATGTAGAGAGGAAGGGAATAATGAAACATCGTTTTTGCGTAGAATTATAAAGTCATTCATGAAAATCGTATATGGTAGTAGGAAATTGATGTATTGGGATGAGAACAACAATTTGAATGACAGCGAAATGCTCGCTTGCCTGATTCAAGTATTGAAATTTCTATTTGGACTTTGGTTAAGAAATTTAGATCACAATTGACGTAGCTTAGATCATTGTTAGGCTTAACGTTTGTTGCTTATTGTTAAAAACGGTTAGACATTCCAATGGGTACTTACAGACTTCATAAAACGTGCTTTTGTAGTGTAGTGTAAAATGACAGCTGGAATCCTGTCGACCACCTCACGATTTCCGACTGCTCTTGCAGGAGGCGTGCTGTCATGGCAACTGCATCACCATTGCAAACGGATAGTGGGCACTAGCAAATACTTTTCCAAATGCTATTTTGCGGTTTTTTTATTTACTTTAAGGAGGATTTATTCTAATCTAGAAAATGTTACCTCATAAAGACAGGCTTCTTAATACCTATCTACAATTCGCGCTTAGTTCTGACATGGATTAAACTATACAACAATATCGGTTCCCTGAATCTTGGGGAAGATAAGACAGCGCCTAACTCTGCCAAAGTTTTGTCTAGACTAAGAAAAATCACTTCCCTTTTAGCTCTGTTCCACAGACACTTCATTAAAATATTTTGCAATTCCGATGCTGTTGGAGTTTTCGACGTAGTCACAATGATAGGTACTAAAAAAAATCGGCAGCTTCATTTAAAATATTTTATGCTTTACTTGGTTAAAATGTATGGAACACCTGTTTTTTTTCCAATTTGACATCATTCATTTCATATATTTTGTTTCTATATAAATGTTAAATTTATTAATTTCATTGTGAGAAAATATTTTTGTGTTGCCCACTATAGTCTTTTATATCAATTATATTTATTAGTCATAGTTCTAATAAAAATTAAGTATATTTTGCCCAGTGCCTTATGAAATCTGTAAGTATTCTTATTAATACTGAGTGCTGTTTAATGTGATAAGAATTTTAAATCGGAGCCAGGCCGTCACACATTTTCCTTTTTCTTATCTTACTATATTTATGAAATCTGTTTTCTAATAGATTGCCCCATATTATTTATCAAATAATATCTTCAAAGAACTCGAAGTATATTTTAAGCTATATCTCGCTCTTTTTACTTGCTGATACAAAATGTTTTAATCGAATTTGAAATGTATTAGATTACAAGAAAACGTTGTCTATCATATTACATTTTAGGGCTCAAATTGTACACAACGGTGGGGCACACGGACGCTGTTGTTTTCTCTTTCCTTCATATTACGTTAAAATATGTAAGAAACAGAAAAGAAAGAGGAAGCAACATTTTAAGTAGTATATATTATGTAAAATGAACAATTGCTATTTTCATTTGTTCTCTATTCTAATCCTACATAAGATACAAAATCTTTGGCGGAAATTATTTCACGTCATCTATGTCAATTTCCTAATCTTAAACCACTCCTTGTAAGATATTAATGTCATATTTGTCGCAATATCTACCTGACTTAATCGTATATATCTGGCAAAGATCATTTACTGTTATACTTAGTATTGATTCTGGTGTTTTATTGAAATCGACATTACTTGAGATAGCTTTTAAAATATAAAACATCTTATGAGTTCCTACATTGGATGAGATTTTTAAATTCATCTGTTGATGAGTTGATGAACAAACGAAATGAGATAGAATTATAACTATGAAATAAAACAAGAAGTCCATCTTGTTTTTTTTTTATTGCTGGCTAATAATATACAGTATTATGTCGGTTGTAGCATATATGCAATATAAAAACACATTTATAAATAAAACAGACTGCTACACACATTCCAATCATATTTATTTATATATACAACCGAAATGTGCAGGCGAAACATAGTTAACATAAATGCAAAAATCGTCTCTTTTGTATAGAACATAAGCCGAATTTTCTAACTCACCAGAATGAAATACCAAGTTCTTAATAAGGTAGTGCGTGACTGATACATTGAAAGGCTGTGTATAAATGAACTTTAACCTATTTGACACGTCATTTGTTATGTATATAAGCTGGGAAAAGAATTCGAAGTTAATTTTTTAAATTTCAAGACATTACGGAATGGCTTTTTAAGGTGCAAATCATCTTCGTCAGCTCATGAATTGACCATTGCATTTTTTAAAGGGGTTAATACTCCATACTGCTGGTCCAGTTTGGGGACTTGAATTCCAAGGCCTTTCCATAAAAATTAAAAAAAAATCGGGTGTCTTCATATGTATGGACGCTTTTATAAGCATCTATGCTTGTAGAAATGCTGTCGTGGCGCGTCTGCGGCGTGGCAGCTGCGCTTCTAATTATTGTAGGAAAATTAATACTGCCGTTCTTAAGATAAGAATAGTAAGCGTATATCGACGCTGAAAAGATAAAACGTGCATTTGGAAAATATTACAGGAGAGGAATTTAAAGTAATTTTTTAAGAGAAAAAGAATCACCGTAACTAATTTTATTTGTAATATGGAAAACAAGGAAGTTTCAGCATTTCCAAATAAGTAATAAAATTACGAGTTATATTTTTTTTTCTTAAAAAAACACTAAATCTTTTTCCTGTAATATATTCCAAATGCACGTTAGTCGATTTACCTTTCCAGCGTTAATATGTATTTCAGACATACTGTTAATATTGTAAACACGGCAGAATAGTGGCGCCACTATAGCACTTCTACGAGCGTCAAATATGAAGGGTCCCTTAATCTGTAGAATGACGATATTGCTGGTTATGTCTTTGATTGACTTTCGCTTATTTTTGTTTCTCATTTTGTCATTATACTCGATAGCGTCAGTGCCATTAATAGACGTTTGAATTTAGCGCAGACTTATAATGGCAACATTTGGACCAAATTAACGTGGAAACATATCTTGGATCGGTTACTCTTACTACAGTATTGTACCGAAATTCATTGTTTTATTACCCAATAAATTGGGTAACGTAAAATTGAGGCAGTTGCCACTGAATATACACGTGTTAATGATGTTAGTGTCAAGATTTTGTTTTGGGTACAGTAAGTCAGAACAATATGTTGATGATGTTCACACGGTACACAAACATTCAAATTAGACGCTTTTATTTAGATATTATTTATTAGATTATTTAGAAGCGCAATTGCAGCGCCACTGTCGCGACATGCGCGCACCACTTTTGTAGTTACAATTTTAGTGAACTAAAGCTCGACGCCCACTGAAGGGACGGCTCGCTAGGGGATCCGTCGGCATTCCTACATGCAAACGCATACGGAAATTTTGCTGCGGTGTCCTTAAGCATGCTGAAGTATCCTAAGGCATGTCGCAGCATTCTGTCGTAACATCGCGCTCGCGCCTGACCTCTCTTCAAGTCTGCCTCCCCTCACCTTTCATACCCGTAAGCACGCATTCGGCGCCCCAAAGTCTGGCTTAGTAATTCCGGAGGCTGCTGGCTCGGCATCCCTAAGCATACCGCAGCTGTATTTTACAGGTACAATAACTATCATTGAAATTGCAACGATAATGTTATAATCTTAAGGTATTACTATTCGTCACCTAAAAATTTCTTGCCGTCCCGTCCCGTCAGTGGGCGCCGGGCCTAATAATGTGACTGAAGTGCTACAGCCACGCGACTGCTGCACCACAGTCACGCCACTAAAAACATAATAATAATTTAAAACAGTTTATTTCAAATGAAAACCATTAATTACATCATTCATGTAAGGCAGAATAAAAAAAACTAATAATGATAATAACGCACACACTCAACATTTTAACCAAATTAAAGATTATATAACCTTTGTGAGTTGCGTTTATACATCAATATAAAATCTTTTTTGATTTGCAGGGATTTTTTATCAATCATTTCATCTACAAGGATTTTTGGTAAATTATTTAATATGTGTGGAAGTTTACACATCCAAACTCATATACCTTGATCATTATTACGTAGTACTGCAGTGCTCTACAAGCGCCTAATTTGAAGGTACCCTTAAACTCTGGTTTAATCCTCTCAATGCACATTTGATTATTTATAGAAACTTTTAAATTACATTATAAAAAACTAATCCATGTCAGATACACATAAGGTCGCTCTCGCAGACTGCACTTATCTGAAACAAGGCTTCGGTAAAAGAGGTTCAATGAGAATAACATATGTACACTTGCAGGCAATTATTGGTGTACAGTTGATGCTCTAAGATACCTGACCCCCTAACCCTCTATTTGGTTCTTTCTTCACACTGATCTAAGTGTCAAGAAAGGTGTTTAACTAACATAACCTCTGATCTGAGCTGTAAAATTCGTTTTGGTATGACGTCCTTATA